GGGACTGGGCACCCAAAAGCGGAAGGACCCAAACGTAGTGGCCATGTTTGTACATTTAGGCCTAAGTGACTCAGGCCCAATCTGCAGGGGAACATTGTTCCAGTTTAGCTAAAGGAGCTATTGGGCCATCTCTGATTACTGTTTAACCTGGGCTTAGTCTGGTTTAGCATAGGTCACTAGGAACTGTTGATGCTAAACTGAAATAAGCTGCTCTAAACCAAAAACTGAGCAGCCCCATGGGTTTGCAGCCATTAAACTAAAGGGTTTTAAAACCCCTTTATGTTAAACCCAGGACCATCTCTAGGCACCAGCAAAGCAAGAATGTGCTTGGGGCGGCACATTTCTTGGGGCGGCAAAAAACCTAGAGCTGGCCCTGGCAGCAAAGATGGCTGCAATTGAATGCAGCAACGCTGTGGATTCGCTCTCCTCATGTCACGTCTTTCAAGGCGTTTTGCGAGACAGCTGTGGGGTTAGGTTGCTGCTGCGGGAGGGAGGCAGACGCGGACCTCGCCGCGTAACCTGGGGCGGGTGTGCCATGAAGTGCGCAGGGGTGGCTGTTTCTGGGGACGGTGGGAAGTGACTACCCGGAGAGGAGGATGTATAAAACCCCCAGAGCGCCGCCTCGAGGAACTCCTCTGCCCTGGAAGTGCCACTGCCCCTGCGAACCCTCTGTGTTTTCAGCTGAGATCAACTGTACTTCATGAGGCTGTCAATGTTTTAATCTCTGTCACTGGGTAGAAAATCCCACCTGTACCCCAAGGGACCTGGGCTAGCTACCCAGGGGGAGCCAGGGCGCAAGAGGGGAGCCTTGGCCTTTCCCCTTGGCCAGCTCTTAGAGGAGACCCCCCTGCTCCCCGGCCCAGGAGCTATTGGGCTGGGGCTCCCCCATGCCCGCCCAAAGGGGCAGCCCCAGGCCGGAGTCCCAGCATGGGGAGGGGGTGCTCCCTGAGCCCCCAGGCCAGGCAGCAGCACTGCCCGCCATGCGCCAAGCCGAGCCCTGCCCCCAGAGCACCCCGCTATCCACGTCTCCTCTGCCCCAGGACAGGTGCCCTACTGGAGAGGGGGGGCCTGTCCCTAGGCCCCCTCATTAGGAAAATTCCGGTTGCACCCCTGGGGGGGGAGGGACAGTGGAACTTACTGTACCTAGGTAATGTCAAAATGCACCAAGTTAAAACTGGGGTAATGGGAGGGTGCGGAGGACACAAGTTGCTCTGATTCTATAGAAATGTCAGCCAGTATTTCAACCACAGACGTGATGCCGGGGAGAGGGTGGGGGCGTCTCTCTCTAAATGGCTGTAGAAAGACTTTTGCCATGGAGTTAAAAGAACTGCATTGTTACCATGTGTTCGGGGGCTCTTCCTGTAGCCGGGAGGGGAGGGGAGGGCAGGGCTGCTGTTGAACTACCATTCAGTGGGATGGGGGGGGTCTTTAATTCAATATTAAAACCCCGCTCCCTACATTGCAGCAGTCTTCCCTCGAGCCAGGCTGGGGGGTGAGGGTGGGGCGCAGGGGTGGAAAGGAGCATTGCCCAGTGCTGTTGCGTTTCCTGACGGATGCTTAACCCATGCAGGGCTGGGGGGGGGGGGGGGGGGGGGGTGTCTCACCCTTCAGAGCAGGTGGTCAGCAAAGTCCCTGCTGGCTGGCGGGCGTGCCCCGGGCAGCGCAGAGCAAAACAAAACAAAAAAAACATTGCAAAGTACAAATGTGTAAAAGCCAAAAAGCGGGGGGAGGCGGGGGAAGCCAAAATTTTTTTTGCTTGGGGCGGCAAAAAACCTAGAGCTGGCCCTGGTTAAACCAGCACAACTCTCTCAAGCAGCCCAGGCCTAGGCAGGGCTGGTGCTCACAGAGGGAGGACGCAGACCTCTAGCTTCAGCTGCCCCCTCGTAGGACCCTGCTCCAGGGCTTTGAGGCCATTGTCAGGAACACATTTCAGGGCTTGTTTGTTGCACTGTCTGTTGGCCGAGTACCCAGCCCAGCGCTTTGGCTCTGGGGGAGCTCACAGCAAACGAAGCGCAGTAGTAGTTAGCAGGCAGTTCCCTTTCTGGAACCAGGGTGCACTCCAGTGGGGCGAATACTGGGGCTGGGGCAAGAAGAGATAGGCAGGTTAAGTCAGATAGGCACAACAGAGCCTGGAAGGGATGGGGATGGGGGCAGGTAGTGGTGCCCTGTTGCCCCAAGGAATCCAGTGTGTTTATGTTGCTCTGTCAGGTGGTTTTGCCTCTTTTGAATGAGAAGGTGCTGGAGCAGAAGCGGAGCCTGGGATGAAAGGAGGCTGAGGTTGGAGTGTTGGAGGAGAGGCCGGGGTGGGGGACAAGGGCGATGGGGATCAGTGCATTTCAGTGAGCTGGGGTAAGGGAGACGGACTAGGATTGCTCTCTTTAAATATATCAAAGGGATAAATACCAGGGAGGGAGAGGAATTATTTCAGCTCAGTGCTAATGTGGACACGAGAACGAATGGATATAAACTGGCCGTGGGGAAATTTAGGCTTGAAATTAGACGAAGGTTTCTAACCGTCAGAGGGGTGAAATTTTGGAACAGCCTTCCGAGGGAAACGGTGGGGGCGAAAGACCTCTCTGGCTTCAAGATTAGGCTAGATAAGTTTATGGAGGGAATGGTTTGATGGGATTACGAGATTCTAATCAATTAGGCAATAACGGCCATCGCTGGTAAAATGAGGGTCTGGCTAGAGAACCTTGCCTGTATGCTCGGGGTTCTGCTGATCGCCATATTTGGGGTCGGGAAGGAATTTTCCTCCAGGGTAGATTGGCAGTGGCCCTGGAGGTTTTTCGCCTTCCTCCGCAGCATAGGGCAGGGGTCGCAAGCTGGAAAATTCTCTGCGACTTGAAGTCTTTAGATCACGATCTGGAGACTTCAACAGCAGAGTTAAGGGAAAGTGGGGGGGTCAGCTTTTGTGGCCTGCATCATGCGGGGGGTCAGACTAGATGACCATATTGGTCCCTTCTGACCTTAAAGTCTATGAGTCTATGAGTCTATGAGGATGGTTACTGACACAAAGGGGAGGCAGGATGGCACAGTGCTTAGGGATCTAGCTTAGGATTCAGGAAGAGGCATGTTCAGTGTCCTGGTCTGCCATTGGCGTCCTCTGTGACCTGTGTGACCCCAGGCTGCCACATCCTGTGTTATCCTGGTCTGCTGCATAGAAGCTGATGCACATGACCTAATTCCCTCCTGTTGGTATTTTTATCCCCTCCCCTGCCTGCGCCTCTCTCCGGTGCCAGGTGCATGCTGTAAACAACAGTCACTGACAGCCCTTTGGAGCTCAGTGCCTTGTGTGCTGCTCCATGGAAATCAGTTGCAGCTTGCACAGTGAGAAGGCACCGACCCCCAACTGGCCTGGGACTCCCTCCCAGGCCAGCACAGCTTCTCTGGAGCAGCTAGCTCATGGCCGTCTATCTTTCCCTCCCTCTTCTCTCCAATAGAAACCTGTTTGTCAAGGCCACCGCTGGTCCTGCCCGCTGCTAAGCCATGGTGTGTGGCTGCAAGTGAGGAGCAGGCAAATGCAGACTGCAAAGGAGGATGAAGGGCGAGGATCATTGCACAGGGCGTGTTCACTAGCCTCTCTGAGGAGCAGGAGGACAGCTCCGCCACCCTGTGCCCCCTGCCAGGGGCTCCTGCTTAGCAATGTTGCCGGCGCTCAGCTGTGATACCGGGCCCCCTTTGTGAAAGTAAGTGTCCCCTGCAGCCCCTGGTTCCCCAAGGGCAGCTGGGAGGGAGCTTTCTGTAACACAGCCAGGCATGTTTCCTTGCTGTGCAATGGCTGTTTGTCTGTCCAGGGGCAGGGGTTGGGGGGTAGTGCTGCATCTTGGCAATCAGTCAGGAGCCCTCCTGAGTGGTGCTTTTGTGCTAGTGCCAGGTGCTGCTCTCTGGGCTCCCCTCTGCACTGTCACCGTTCAGCAGACCATGCCCAGACTGCCCTGGCTGGGGCATCTCTCCAACACCCAGGCTGAGAACCCAGCACTGACTCCCAACAGACCCTCAATTTGGGTGCTGCATGCATTGGACAGATGTGGCTAGCTGGATCCAAGTGTTTTTCAAGCAGAACTAGTAGCCTGGTGCCCCATTGTGCTCTTGATCTGAGCCCCTCCCCCAGCAGGAAGGGCCCAGGGCATTATGCTGAGCATGCATTGGTGGTGGGGTTGGTAACCAGAGCATCCTTCTACCTCTCCAACAAGAGGCTGAGACCTCTATGCAATGAAAAAGACTTGGCTTGGCTTTGAAATGTGTTTGTTGCTCTGGCTTGAAGGCACAAGCTCTTTGGGGTAAGGCCAGACCTGCTTCTGGGTATATTTGCACAGGGCCCAATCCCGACAGGGGCCTCTGCTGCTATTGGGGTAGAGCTTGGGCATGCTCCTGCCTGGCCTTTGCCCGTGTTCTCCGGTTTCCTGGGCTAATTGAACACATTAAGGGTTCCCCAGCACATTCTGTATCAGGGTCAGCTGCATTCCCCACTGCTAAGGCCCATGATGGCTGTGAGCCATCTGCACCAGAGACAGGTTTAACGCCACCTGGACGGGCCAGACCTCCGAGTTCACAATCACCAGAGGATTTGTCTGAGTTCCAAGCTGAAGTCGCTGGGAGGAAGGGCCTGGCCTAACGGCTTCATGGCTTCTCCTGTCTGTTTGAAAGCCCGTCAGATCACATTGGAGCCAGCGCAACAGCTCTCATGCTGTCACTTTTATCAGGCCATTGAGAGCATGTTTTTTATGTCCAGTTCCCTGTAGCACCCACCCAGCTCCCTGCCTAGGGTCAGGTTCCTCACTCCCTCAAGGAATTTTGTTGCTGGTTGGACTGACCTGTTACCTGCACCGATTCTCCCCTTCCTGGGGTCCTTGCAGTGTGTGGCTGGATCAGCCCCCATCCTGAGCAGGGTATATGTGCCTGGGGAGATTAGCAGCTCACTGGGGTGCAGACAGATGCATTGTTACTGGGCCTTTTGTGTTGTTCCAGGCAGCTGGTGGGATCATCTTTCCTGCAGCCCTCACAGCAAATGGGCTTCACGGGCGCAGCAGCTGGGGATGGCGCCTTGCCCCACTGAGACCATGTCAGAAGGGCTGCGCAGGGAGCCAGAGGCAGACTGCCCTGTTTGCTGGAATTCCTACAACAACACCTTCCGTACCCCAAAGCTCCTGGAGTGCCAGCACTCCTTTTGCATTGAGTGCCTGGCACACCTGAGCCTGGTGTCCCCTGCCCGCAACCGGCTGCAATGCCCACTCTGCCGCCACCCCACAGTGCTCCCCTTCAACCAGCCCATCACCGAGCTGCCCACCAACTCAGATGTCCTGCGGCTGCTCAAACTGGAGCCCAACCATATCATCCTGGAGGGCCGGCAGCTGTGCCTAAAGGACGAGCGGAAATCACGGTACTTCCTGCGCCAGCCCAGGGTTTATACCCTCAACCTGGGAACAGATCCAGGGCCCAGGCTAGGTAGCTTCCAAGCTTCCCCTAGGCCGACCTCCATCCCCAGCCGCTCTTCCCTTCGGCAATGCATCCGCAACCCCCAGTTCCGCATCTTCGCCTACCTGATGGCCATCATCCTCAGCGTGACACTGCTGCTCATCTTCTCCATCTTCTGGACCAAGCAGTTCCTGTGGGGCATAGGCTGAGGGCTTGGCAAACCCCACAACTGGAGCCCAGAGCTCAACATCTTCTCAGACAGCAAAAGGTGACATCAGCTACTTGGCATCTGCTCTGGGCAGGGGAGCCCTCTCTGCACCCTCCAGGACCATCTCTGCAGGCTCTGGCTAATGAGCTTTGTTCCTGATCTCTTCTCAGTGATACACCCAGCCATACTAGTGGTCTGGCTGCATCCCAAGACCTGGGGGTTCCCCGGCAGCCACCCTGAGCATTGTGCACCAACAGCAGCAGAACCTGTATGATGTTCTGGAACTGCCCCATCAGCTGAAGCTCTTTGCTGCCTGTCATGGGGTCTGGGGCCCCAACCTGAGATCCAGGGCGCTATGGGAATACAGATGCTCATAGTAGTGGGCAACAGGGCCATTATACTGAATGGCCATGACACAAGAGGAGGGGATGCTGCAAACCCCAGCCCAGGAGGAATGAGCCAGAACCTTATGGAAAGTGAAGATTTCTACAGGCTCGCCTGTGACTCATCTTCTTGTCTCTCCTGGGATAATACCAAGGATCTGGGTGCCACCAAGGACAACATGCAGGCCAGGACATTCATGTCCACAGACTAACACCGTCTGTTGTGCCAAAAGTTTCACGGGGGGCTGCGCTTTTTCCATCTGCTGGATAAGCAGACCCCTGGCCCACAGCAAAGACCTGCAAGAAATGTAATCTTTTGTCTTTTTGAGCTAATTGTTGCACTTTTTGTTGTGTTGTTTACAATCAAACACATTCAGTTCCTGTGCCAGGGTCCCAGCTCTTCCTCTGCTCTCACCCCTCAACCTCACTTTCTTTTCCAGAGGCAAGAAAATAAATGTGAACGGTTTCCATTTCCATGGGGCAGACACGGATTGCCTGAACAGAGAAAGCACCAGTGTCTGTCCTGTTTCCTTGTCTTGCCTCTGGATTAAGGCCAGTGGGTTCAGATTGCAGCAGCTCTGTTTGAAGGGCAGCATGGGGAAGGCTGTTCCAACTCCTCAGGTTTGCATTGACATGTGATTCCTCAGCTGTGCCTGTTCTGCACCAAGATGGGCTCAGTAGCAGTGACAGTGTTCCCCATTGTGTACCTGGCTGGCAGCTAGCAGGAACTGCATGGTACTCTCACTGTGGGTAACTACATTAGTCCACAGGAGTGCTCAGTATCTACACAGCCTGAGCAGCTTTGTTTCTTTAACATTTACTCCATCAGCCCATCATAAATTGTGCTTTAGTCATACTGAGCAACCCTGGGCCTCGCTGATGTGGATGGGAGACCTTTAAGGAAGCAATAGCTATGAGCCAGACAGGGGTCTCTTCCCTTTGCCTCAGCACTCAACCAGTGTTCTGTAGGTGCTGTCTTTACCAGGTGAGACCTCAGGTCCCAGGCAGTCAATAAAGAGCAGGTGTGACAGCCACTGGCCACATGCCAGGTGGGATAATTACATTCTGGTTCCTGCAGCAAGAGTTATGGAAGTTTGGCCTCATGTCCTTCCCCAGACGGTTGGGGAAGTTTACTGTGTGCTGTCATGCAGTAGGTGTGTTTCACCTCAGAGTTGGCTGCATTTCAGGGGTGGGAGCTGCAATCCGAGAGGTAGGAACATAGTTGCAGCAATGCTGGAATTCAACTGCCACAACTGGGGAAGGAAAGGGCCCCACTTTTAACAGTTTGTTCGGCCATCAGAAAAGGCCTTGGCCTGCAGACAGTGTCATGGGGAAGAGGGTGGAGCTTCCTTCTTGCTGCAGGCTGTACCCCACCACCCCATTGGTGGCTCAAGTCTCTATCATAGCAGGCAATTCCTGTTGGTGTGAGAAAGGGGCAGGTAACATGATGATGGAACCCATCGCTCCTCTTGGCATATTAACCCATCCCTTCTGCTGCAGAGACTGACAAGTCTGGACTCCCGTGTGGGGAACGACAGCCTGATGGATGGGGTGAGGCCAGGAGGAGGAGAGAAAATAGAAGCTGGAGTCACTAAGGAAACTATAAGGGACTGGATGGCTTCAGGAGTGGAGGCTGCTGGTTTGGATCCAGTTGTTACCATCTGAGAGCTGGCATGGGCCTCTCTACAATGAATTGCATGCTCAGCAGGCAGGTGGCTACATTTATTTAATAAAGCAAGTCCTGCTAGGTCAGAGTCCAGCTAGACCTCAGCCTGTTCCAGCAGCAGCTCCTTCTGCTAGCACCTCTATCTAAGGTCACTGTAGCTGATGCAACCCAGAGGAGGGACAGGGCTGGGTAGCTGAAGGGAACTCAGTCAAATGATGTATTGCTACTCAATCAAGTGATTTCTATTTGCCTGTAAACTACAGTGTAACCTTGTTTAAGGTACTGTCCAGAAGACCAAACATCAGTTGCTTAGTAAAGATGGATCTTAAAAGAGCAAATAAATTGCACTGGATAGCTCAGGGGATATTTTAAGTGGTGTCTCCAGGCCAGGGCTGACTGGAAGTGGGGTCCCTAGTGCAGGTCTCACTGTACAGGCTGGGATTATGGTAGGAGTTGTTTTGGGTTTATATACAATGTCTGTGCTGCACTTTGGACGTATGTTGCCACTGCAACCCCTGGGCCCGAAAGATGGCCACTCTAGCAGAGTACGCACCGGGCAGAGAACATGAAAAGGTGGGAGTAGCTATACCAACTGTAAGAGGCCAATCAATTGAGATGAGCTATCAGCAGCAGGAGAGTCTAGACTGCTGAACTTGAATTAATATGCAAATTAGATACAATTAACTTAGGTTTAAACAGAGACTGGGAATGGTTGGGTCATTACACTAATTGAATCTATTTCCCCATGTTAAGTATCCTCACACCTTCTATGGGTCACCTCAATTATCACTGCAAAAGTTTTTTTTCTCCTGCTGATGATAGCTCATCTCAATTGATTGGCCTCTTACAGTTGGGTCTGGCTACTCCTACCTTTTCATGTTCTCTGTATGTATAAATATCTTCTTTCTGCGTGTTCCATTCTATGCATCCGCTGAAGTGGGCAGTAGCCCATGAAAGCTTATGCTGAAATAAATTTGTTAGTCTCTAAGGTGCCACAAGTACTCCTGTTCCTCTCAATAATGAATCAGAGGTGATGGGGCAAAGAGCAGGTGAGACCAGATGCTTCATGTAGTCAGCTAGAGAGGCAAGGAGTAACCTCACTTCCTCAGCCAAAAGGGACCCATTTCATTCCTTTTCACTAACCACAGTACTTAGGGAATTGGTGGTGGAGAAGAACTACGCTGCTGCGGGCATGCACTGCTACTCTCAAGAGGAATGGGAGAAGATGAAGCTGCTTCTCCCTCGCTGGGGGCACTTTTCAGAGACAGCCCCACAAAGAGATCAGCTTTTCCACACTCCATGGCTATCTCCCTCACCCTGTTTAATGCACTGGTTAGTGCATACAAACAAAACACAGGGAAGCGTGCAACTGAGAACGAGCAACGCTGTATCACCCATCCACTCTCACAAGTACACACACTGCTGCATGCAAGGTTCCTATATTGCTGATCGAAGTGTAGGGAGAGAAGAGGGACAACAGCTGGCCTGATGCCTCCCCGTCATGGGACTGCTTCCTAGGTACACAGCTGTGGCTGGTAACAGATGCTGCAGGCCCCTCCCCCACACAGCTCCAGTACAACCAAAGTGCACAGACACTGAGGTCACAACAGGTTTCTTAGAAACAGGCACCTGCAAAACTTCACTGGGAAGATTTGAGAAAGTGAATGTTCTCTACAGTGGGTGGCTAGAGCAAGAACCTTAAAGTGAAACAAACTAGCAACAAAGCTGTAACTGACACCTCTGTATGCACCTCCCAGCAGAGACTTGCAGGCAGCTTAAGCTGGAGAAGTCCATGTGATTTGAAAGTGTTTGTGTTTTAATACTCTGAAGTATCACAGAGGCAGAAGGGGATCTAGGGCAGTGGGCAGTTCAAGCTTGATTTTGCATGAAGAGAAACTCCCTCCTCTCCCGCCGCTTAAAATTCACCCACAGCAGATGCCTAAGGGGGCATGGGCTTCCACGTTCTGCAGAGATCCAATCTCTGTGCTGGGAGAACCAATGTGCCATATTTAAATGACTGAAGCAGCTGGCTCTTTGCCAAAAGCAAGATCATTCAGGCTCCATGGCTGGGGAAAGTCTCCTACAAAACTGATCTTGAGGGTGATGCCAACCGATGGGTTTTATGGCACAGTGCATCTGAAGGGGGGAGGGAGGGTATTTACAAACATGTATAACAAAGAGTAAAGCCCATGATGAAGGGGAGGTAGAGCAGATGGCTCACACCAGAATTTCTCCCCCGAGGCAGGGGGTAGAGATTATACAAAGCAAGGTTACTGCATCACTCCAGGAGCTCAGATCAACTCTGACTTTGGCCAACTCCCAGCACAGGGGATGCACCAGCACCATGGGGAAGCCGACGCCAGCCAGTAACTCCAGCCACGATCGTAGTTGATGCAACAGTTGATTTTTTTTTTTTTTTTTTTAATATAAAAATGCAGGGACAGCCCAGTCTGTGATATTCCCCATCCTGAGTCACTGGCAGCTCAGAGCTACTCTGCCATCCACAACTTGAAGGTCCTGTCATATGAGCATGTTGCTATTAGCTGCCCATCTGAGGAGATATCCAATCCCATTACTTTTCCCTCGTGGCCAGCCAGCGTTTTCAGAGGGGACCAGCCTGGGTGAGTCCAGATCTTGGCTGTGTTATCATAAGCACCGGTGAGCAGGAAGTTACCATGCGTAGCTGCAGTGAAGGAGAGGGGAAGAGGTGAGGTTCGCATGTAGAAAAAACAGACGACAATAGATTGCCAACACCAGATTGCAGATTCTGGAGAGGAGTCTGCTGAGTTCTGGGATTTCTGGCTATTACCAGCACAGATTGTTCTGCAGTTTTGTTGCACATACAGCTATCCCAGCCACATCAGCCCAGGGAATTAGGAGGAAGTGTTGCTAAGCAAACCAAAGTGTGGGAGGGGAAATACTTACGTTCAAACTTCACTCCAGTCACCAGGTTCTGGTGGGCAGGTATGGTGTAGACACACTTCCTCTGGCGGAGGTCCCACACTTTGCATGTGTTGTCCCCGCTCCCAGTTGCTATGTGATATCTGCCATGGGGAGAAGGAAGAGCACACTGGTCTCAGCTGGAGTTCATGCTCTCAGAACCCCTAGCTGCACCATTCCAACTCCCTCCTTACCCATTTGGGGAGAAGTTAATCCCATAGATTTCCTTCAGGTGGCCCTCCAGGAACATGATACAGCGCCCAGTACGTAGATCCCACACCCGACCAAAGGCATCCATGCCACTGGGGAAAGAAAACTCAGCATTGACACTTCTTAAACACACAAGAGTGGTCACTAGCCCAAACAAACACACCCAGCCCAGCAAAGGGCATCTGATCCTGAGCGACAACCTTGCTAAGGTTCAATGTAAATCTTACCCAGTCCCAGCAAGAGAGCCATCAACGTGGAAGGCGATGTCATAGACCCCCTTGCTGTGCCCCTCCTGATGGAGGATCTCCTCTTGAGCTTGCAGGTCCCAGAGGCGCCAGGAGTGATCATAGCTGGAAAAACAAAGCCATGTGTCCAACTCAATGCATTTTTCAGAATTCTAACCTTGGCTCAGACTAGAAGGTATGTGGGTGCTCAACACCGTTAGAAACACAAACGGATAATAACTGCTTCATCAGCACATCACTGCTGGTCAACCCAGAACCTCATCTGCTGGACAGCAGGGGATGACTAGGAACAAGCCTTGTAGCCCTGACGACACCGAGAAGACGTTAGTGTTCTGCAGTGTCCTTGCAATGTGCTGGGGAAAAGGACGCTTCCCCAGTGCCACATGACAATGGCAGTCAGTTGGCCAGCCACCAAAGGGAGCACAGATCCTGCCAATAAAATGAACATTTCACCCACTGAGTGCCCTGCATGGTATAAACGCAATAGCACATGCACACCTGTGGTAGTGCTGCTGGGATAAGTCAGCCCTGTGGTCAGATGTTTGGCTGCATGTGTATTCTTTGTGTGTGCTGTACTGACTCTGGCCAGAAAGCCCGTACAGGAGGCTCCAATCAAACTGCCCAATAAATCCACAAACTTGGTTCATAGCGAAGGCACTTGGTCAGGTTTATTGTCAACGAAACACAGTCCCAGTGCCCTGGCTCAATGGTTATAGGTACACTAACACATGGATGACTGTTGCAATGGACTAGCTCAGTTAATGGCGGGACTTTCCATTATCCCCCAGGCCAGCCAAAGACACTCACTCTGAGATATCTTTTATACATCAATGCAAACAAGTTACACACTGCTCCTCTGACATAGTCAGTTACCACCCCATCACCTTGCACATCTCTATCCATCACACTGTCATCCTGACCTTATCTTTAGGATGGGTCAGTGTGTTCCTGTTATATTTAGGGAATATGCTGGTATCAAGGTGTTCTGGTACCACCCTTCTGGAATGTGTTCGTGGGAGTGCTCTGTTCCTAGCCTCACACTCTTAGGAGTGTGTGTTTTTGCAATATCAGTCCTGTTCTTGCCAGATTCTGTGAGCAGGGCCTGCCCATAGTTCACAGCCCGATTTTGCTTTATAACAGCAAAGTTTTGACCGCTACTTTAGCCCAGGCCTCAGGCTTCATACCAGGCCTCTGACATAAAAGACTTATGTTTCAGGCCCTCTTCCTACTACAAGCCTCAAAGAGCAGAGCAAAGATGTGTATTCACTGGCCACACATGGAGAATTGCATTTGCCCCACGCTGTCAGATGCTCTCCTACAGCTCACTGTGCCCAGCTTTCACTCCGCAGGCATGTTTCCTAGCAGGGGGCTGAAAGATGCAAGTGACGGCACCTGAGTGAGAATTTGTTTCTCCAGGTAAGTCAGTTAGTCATAGTGACAGGCTGCCAGTTTGTGTCATTTTGGTTCCAAGGGGAACTGACTGGCAGATTTCTGAAGAGCATGTGAGCTTTGGCACCCAATGCTCTGGGAAGATTGGCAGATATTTACTTAAGGGGCGGTTGAGAGAGAGGCATTATTTTTAATACCTGTGCATAGTTGGAGGGGAGGGTAAGTCCCCATTTAAACAAAGAGTCAGGTGATGGTTTAAAGACCCAGGAAAAGTACATTATAACCTGCCAGTTACAGATGCAAGACACAGCAGGGAACAGAGTCTGGAGATCCCTTGGAACTGGAATGGAGGGAAGAGAAGCAAAGAGTGGGGCCACTGACTCATAAGGGTTATTACTGTTCTCCGTGGGGCCATTTCAAAGAGATTCTACTAAGCAGCAGGGTCTGTGGCTCCTTCTGGAGCCAGCATTTCAGATATATTCAGGCTATGTGTACGGCTGGGTTTCAGGATAGATCAGACCCTCTGCCCTCAGGGTATCTGGGTCTTAACAATGACTCAATAGGATCTGCTCCACTCTTTGCCCAAGCCCATTAGCAGGAGAACCTCCATTCCCAGACTTATTTGCTCATGCTTTCTACTGATCAAAATCAGTGTTAACCACAGGTAGTGAGCTGATGGTATGGCTCGACAACAGGGCTTTGATAGTTGGCACATCCCAAAAGGCAGGAAGTGGTTATTCCACTAGTCAGTGTTTCCACAGGGATAGGTTTCAGAGTAGCAGCCGTGTTAGTCTGTATCCGCAAAAAGAACAGGAGTACTTGTGGCACCTTAGAGACTAACAAATTTATTAGAGCATAA